AAAAAAACCAAACAAATCCCAACCGCCAGAAAAAAAAAAACACACCCCAAAACCAAACAAACCCACAAATCCCAGCCCAGTGAAAGTGGCCCCGGGGTATTTTGAGAGGGATTTCGGGTGAAAACACTACAGCTTTTGTCCTCCCAGGGCAGGAGTGGAAAGAGATGGGGGGGGGGCCCTCTCTGTCTGCTCGAGTGTTTGAAATCACCCGTGGTTATCCCAGCCCTGTGCAGCCAAAATTGTATTTATTTTTTTCCAAATCTTGATAATTTCTGGACTATTGAGAGGAGAAAACCAGCTGGGGTTTGGCTGCCACTTTTTAGGGGTTGTAACCCCCCCCAAGCTGCCTCCTGCTCCAAATTAGGATTATTTTGGGGGTGAAGGGGTCTGATTTCTCTAACCACGGAGAGGTCCCCACCAGTGCCCACCCACCAGACCCTCAAAGGGGCTGGAGCTGGGGTGGGGGCTCCCCTCGACACCCCCAGCCTTTGGGTCTCTACGCTTCCACCCAGGGTCTGGGTTAGGGGGGAAATTGGGGAAAATTGGATGAAATTAATTGAAATTTTGAAATTATTTGTTACAGCCCAGACCAGGCAGAAGCCAAACCATCAACTCAACCATGTTGGGAGGCCACCTCCTCCCTGCAGCGATTAAACTTCTGCCTGACCAGAAAAAACAACAAAAAAGAACAAAAAGCAACAAAAAACCCAACATTTTCAACGACGGACGCTGAAATCCCTCCGAATTTTAACCGGCGACGGCTCTTTTCCGCTTCCCTGAGGAAAGGGGAGTTTTGGGCTGCAAAAAGGGGGCTCCTTCGAGGAAGGAAGGTGCTGCTGCCCCCACGGAGACTGAAAAGCCACAAAGCCCTTGAGGATCTCCCCCAGGAAAGCTTTGGGAAATCCCGGATTTGCATAGAAGGAGAGGAAAAAGGCTCTTTGCCCAGGGTGGAAGGCAGAAGGAAAAGAGAGAAAGAAGCAGTTTTTTGGGGGGGCTGCAGAACCCACCGCCCGCCGGACACCCCCCCTGCCAGGGCAGCACGGGGACCACCTCTCCCAGTTTTTTTTTTTGCCTAAAAACCTCGTTTCTGAGGTGAAACACGACTCTATGTTGGCTCCTGGTGTGATGGGGACACGGGGGACCCCCGGATTGACGCCCGGCGACGTTCATGGGTTGGTTGTCTCCAAACAAGGACATTCAATTTTTGGGGCAGGGTTGGGTTTGTTGGGGAGGGGGGGACACCCCCCAACGTCCTGTGCCCCCCAAAACCCGGCCGTGGGCACGCAGCCTTCCTCCCAGGGCCAGCCCTAGCCTTGGCTATCGGCGCTTTTGGGAGGCTCTGGGTTCCCCTTCAGCAGGATCTCGCTCAGCTCGGGGGACATGTAGTAAGGCCTCTCGGGAGATCCATCGTTCCTCTCCAGATCTTCACCTTTTTTTTTTTTTGGGGGGGGGGGGTTGGGGTTTTTTTGGTAAGCAAAGGAAATCATAATCTAAAAAGATTGTTTCTTTTTAATTGCAACTGGTTCTACTTATTGATTTCCAAAATTACCTAAGCAGCCTGATGTTTACTAGCACTTACTCTTAGATGTTGTTGGTGGTAATTGCTGCGTTAGGATTACAAAGCACTGGCATAAATCTCACTCAGCACCTCTTCGGTTTCCGTGGGCAGAACAAGAAAAGGGGGAGAAAAGGGGGAGAAAAGGGGGAGAAAAGGGGGAGAAAAGGGGGAGAAAAGGGGGAGAAAAGGGTGAACAGGGGAGGAAAGAGGGAAAAGAGGGGGAAAAGAGGGAAAAGGAGGGGAAAAGGAGGGGAAAAGGGGGAGAAAAGGGTGAAAAGGAGGGGGAAAGGGTGAAAAGGGGGAGAAAAGAGTGAAAAGGACGGGGAAAGGGTGAAAAGGAGGGGGAAAGAGTGAAAAAGAGGGGAAAAGAAAGGGTGAAAAGGAGGGGAAAAGGGTGAAAAGGAGGGGAAAAGGGTGAAAAGGAGGGGAAAAGCCAGGGAGAGACAGGGCGGAGACAGAGGATGGAGAACATGTGAAGAGAGAGGGAGGGAAGGAAAGGGAGAAAAAAGGAGAAAAAAAAAGGGAAAATCGAAGTTAGTCGCAGTTAAGTTCCACCAAGACCAAAGCACCGAAACAAAGAGCGGGAGAGACGGCAGGAGCCCCGAGGAGGTGGGGAGGTGGGAAGCAGAGGCTGGTCAGAAAGGAGGAAAAAAGCAAAAAAAAAGGGAGAAAAACCACACAGGGAGGGAATTTGGAACAACCCCCCCTCCCCAAATTTGGGATTTGGCCCCGAGGAAAGGTGGGGAGATGCAGCCTTTGAGGTGGCCACTTACAGAAGCAGAGGAAGAGGGTGTCCACGCACATCCCGTAGACGCTGAAGAACCCGTGGGCGATGAGGTAGGAGCCCACGATCACCGTCTGGGAAGAGGAAGAAAAATGGAATGGTGTCACCCCACGACCTGGCAGCTGAAAAGTCCAAAGCCCCACAACCAGGAGGAGGAAATTTGCTGAATCCCCAAATTCTGGGGGATGGGGAAGGAGGAGAAAGGAACAAGGGCAGGATTGTTGGGAGCAGCAAAAGACCTCGAGGACGAGGAGGTGGATGGAGGCCAACGCAGCCACCCGAAACAAAGGGCTTGTTTCACCAGGGGATGGAGAAACCACCACCAACAAAGAAGGTCCTTCAAGAAGCAGGACCTCCCTCCTTTTCACGGAATCACGGAATTGTCAGGAGTTTGGAAGGGACATTTCTAGAGACCATCTAGTCCCAACTCCCAAAAGGTGACTTTTTGGGCCTTCGGGTGAAGGATTCTCTTCCTAATATCTTCCAGATTCATGGGAAGAGGATGAGGAAGCAGCTCACCAGGATGGGGACCCAGTAGTAATTCAAGGAGGGCGCCGTGTCCTGCACCAGCTTGATCCTCTGGGTGAAGAAGAAGAAGGCCAGGATGCCTGGAAAAGCCAAGGGTGGAGATGGCCACGGGACCAAAAGGAGGGTGTGGAGAAAGGCGTAAAACGGGGCCAAAAGGCCAAAAGGAAGGGTTTGGTGGAAAAAGTGAAGAGAGGGGAGGTTTTGGGGGGGGTGTAACCATCCCCCAAGGGAAACCACCACTCCCTGGTGCTCACCCACGCTTCCTACGATGAGGAGTTTCCCCAGGAAGAGGAGGAAATCCGTGACTTTATCTAGGACGGCCACCCTGGAGAGAAGACAAGGATGAGCATCAACATCCGCTCCCCACCCCTGAGGCAGAAGGAAGCCTGGCAAAAGGGGGGGGTCCCGGCGAAGAGGGGGGGTCCCAGCGTGGAGAAACGGGGCAGAAAACACCACGAAAGCCTCAAAACAAGGCAGGTGGATCTGGAAATAACCAAGAGCAGAGCCCTGGCCCCTCCACCCAGCAGGATCTCACCTGATGATGTTCCTCATCAGCAGGAAGAAGGCGTTCCTGGCCGAGGTGCAGAAGTTGGTGCCGTAGACGGCGATCTAGAGAGGGGGAAAAATGGGGGCAGAGAAGGGAGAAACGGGGCCACGTTGAGTTCACCGGGAAGAAGAGGGAGAGTTTTACCCCTTCTTTGGGTACCCCACCCCTCCACCCAGCAGGATCTCACCTGATGATGTTCCTCATCAGCAGGAAGAAGGCGTTCCTGGCCGAGGTGCAGAAGTTGGTGCCGTAGACGGCGATCTAGAGAGGGGGAAAAATGGGGGCAGAGAAGGGAGAAACGGGGCCACGTTGAGTTCACCGGGAAGAAGAGGGAGAGTTTTACCCCTTCTTTGGGTAAAAGAAGGAGTTTTACCCTTTCTTTGGGTAAATCCCACCCTGGAAGTGCTTCTTCATCCACCGAGAGGTCAGAGAGCTGGATCCCCCCCCACCCCATTTGTCTCTGGGAAGGTGTCCCCCCAAAAAAAAGTCAAAGCAACGTGGCCAAGATCCAGGTTTTCCAGCAAAATGGCTGGGAAAGGCTGAAAAATTCTGTTTTCTTGGGAGACACGGTTCTCAACAGCCACCCAAGGAAATCTCCAGGAGCCCCCCATCTTCTCAGGAGACACGGTTCTCAACAACCACCCAAGGAGATCTCCAGGAGCCCCCCATCTTCTCAGGAGACACGATTCTCAACAACCACCCAAGGAAATCTCCAGGAGCCCCCCATCTTCTCAGGAGACACGGTTCTCAACAGCCACCCAAGGAAATCTCCAGGAGCCCCCCTCCACCCCCCCACCACCGGGAGGACCCTCACCATGATGTAGGCGTTTCTGTTGAGGAACTTGATGAATTTCTCCAGGCACCAGAAGCAGCACTTCAGGCAGCTCAGGAGGAACTTGGCAAACCTATTATCTGCAGCTGGAGGAAGGTCACGGCAGAGGGTGAGCGGCCGGAGCCACGGACACCTTTTTTTTGGGCAGAATCCACTTCAAGGTCCCCGGCGAGACGGCCCCCACGGCCTCCCCCCACGCCTGGTTCTCAGCCTCCCCGGGTGCAGGTGGTGGGACAGGAGCTTCATGAGCTCTTCCCACGTTTCTGCTGCGTTTCAGGAGCAACAGAATTGTAGAATCCCAAAATCTCAGAAATCTACAGGGTTGGAAGGGTCCTCTGGAGATCAGCTCCTCCAACCCCACCCCGGGGACCCAGAGCAGGTCCCACAGGAACGTGTCCAGGCAGGTTTTGAACATCTCCAGAGATGGAGACTCCACCACCTCCCTGGGCAGCCTGACCATAGGGTTGTCCGGGTTGGAAGGGACCTTTCAGATTGTCCAAGTCCAACCGTCAACCTCCCACTGATGAAAACCATCACTAACCCGTGGAATCACAAAATGGTTCCAGTTGGAAGGGACCTTAAAAATCATCTCGTTCCAGACCCCCTGCCCTGGGCAGGGACACCTCCCACCAGCCCCACTTTGCTCCAAGCCCCCTCCAACCTTGGCCTTGAACCTCTTCAAGGTTCTCTGGGCAACCCCACAGCTCCTCTGGGCAACCTGGACCTTAAAGACCATCGAGCTCCATCCCAGACACCTCCCACCAGAGCAGGTCTCTCCAAGTCCCGTCCAACCTTGGCCTTGAACCCCTTCAAGGTTCTCTGGGCAACCTCACAGCTCCTCTGGGCAACCTGGGCCGGGCTCTCCCCACCCTCAGAGGGAAGAATTCCTTCCTGAATCTCCCCTAAATCTCCCCTCTTTGATGCCCCGTCCCTGGGAACCTTCAAGGGCGGGTTGGACGGGGCTTTGAGCCACCTGGGCTGGGTGGAGATGGCCCTGCTCATGGCATCATGGAAGGGTTTGGGTGGGAAGGGACCTTCAAGTAGAACTGGGGGGTCAGTTCCACCCCCTGCCCTGGGCAGGGGCACCTCCCACCAGACCCAGTTTGCTCCAAGCCCCGTTCAGACTGGTCTTGAACCCCTCCCAGGGATGGACCATATCTCTAAGAGTCGTACAACCAGACACAGAAGGTGGTGACCTCCTTCATCCCCCTCGTTGGCCATTTCAGCTTCGGTACCTTTTAACCTGTGGTCCAGATACTCCAGAATGACCCTGATGACTTGGACGATGGCGAGGATCAAGGAGCCGAAGGCGAGCGAGCCGGTGTGGTACCTGGGAGAAGGTAACACAGCTCCGGTCAGGAAGTGAGGACAACCTTGAGGAGCTCCTGAATCCTCCTGGAGAGGGACCTACCGGAGCGCGCGGCCGAAGGCGGAGAAGAGGGGGAAGGCTGGCATGTCATCAGGCTTCTTGAAGGCCCAGTAGTAGGAAGCGAAAGCCCCCGCCAGCGTCACCTGACCCAAGGCGATGACGAAGTTGACGAGCCAGAAGAACATGAAGATGTTGAAGAACTGGAGGACGATGAGGTACTTGTGGTAGGCCGTCTCGCCCCCGTAGAAGGCGAAGAGGCACTGGGCGTCGGGGCACTGCTTGGTGACGTTGCTGGTGTTGAAGGTCTGGAGAGGAACAGCAGAGGCTCAACCCAAAGCAACCACAACCTCCCAAAGACGTCATTCCTGCTTCATTTTTGTCGCTCGCTCCGATGGAAGAGCCACCTTTTTGGGGCGCGCAACGGCTCAAAGGAAAATAACGAGGCGGCGTTAAACGAGCTGGGGAGGGTGGAATTTCACTCGGGAGAGCCCAATCTTATCTCTTGAGAGGTGGAGCACGTGGTTTTGGGGCCCCTTCCCCCACGTCCTCACCTCCGGTCGGCAGGGCTGCCCGGAGAACTGGCAGGCGCTCTCGTTGAACACCTTGTAGACGGCCTCGTTGGAGGTGGAGAGGAAACTGCGGAGCAGCTGCTAAGGAGAATTTTTCCAAACCCCAGCCCCCAATCCTCGGGCCTCTTCTCCCTCCTTTCTGCCCCCCTCCCGCGACGCCTTTTCGACGTTGGGTTTGGTTTTAAGTTAAATTTAAGAGGGTGAAACTGGTGGTTTTTCAAAGGGATGTGGCGCTAATCCCGTAAGGTGTTCAGAGCCCTGGAAGACCTTGGAGGAGCTTCCCCCCTCCTGCCCTGGGGAGCAGAGGGTCAGGAGAGAGGAAGAGGAGGGAGAAGAAGAGGGAGAAGAGGAGGGAGAGGAGGAGGGAGAAGAGGAGGGAGAGGAGGAGGGAGAGGAGGAGGGAGAGGAGGAGGGAGAGGAGGAAGGAGAGGAAGGAAGAGGAGGAAGAGGAGGAAGAGGAGGAAGGAAGAGAAGGATGAAGAGGAGGAGGAAGGGGAGGAGGAAGGAAGAGGAGGAAGGAAGAGGAGGAAGGAAGAGAAGGAAGGAAGAGAAGGAAGGAAGAGAAGGAAGGAAGAGAAGGAAGGAAGAGAAGGAAGGAAGAGGAGGATGAAGAGGAGGATGAAGAGGAGGATGAAGAGGAGGATGAAGAGGAGGATGAAGAGGAGGATGAAGAGGAGGAAGGAAGAGGAAAAAGGAAGAGAAGGAGGAAGAGGAGGAGGAAGAGGAGGAGGAGGAGGAGGAGGAGGAATGGGGGGGGGTCTGCACCAGGACTCACGAAGAGGAGGAAGGAAGAGGAGGAAGGAAGAGGAGGAAGGAAGAGGAGGAAGGAAGAGGAGGAAGGAAGAGGAGGAAGGAAGAGGAGGAAGGAAGAGGAGGAGGAAGAAGAGGAGGAAGAAAGAGGAGGAAGAAAGAGGAGGAAGAAAGGATACACGGCGGTGCTGGCCCAGTAGGCGATGCAGAGACACAGCAGGAAGAAGGTGCACAAGGGGAACAGCAGCGACATCATGACGTGACCGATGGCCCTGATGAGAAGATGGTTAGAACCCCGTTGAGACCCTCAGGACACCGGGTTGGGGGACACCTCGGCCGTCCCCAAGTTTGTCCCCCCGGGACAGGGGTTGAGGGGGACGCCCCCGGACCTGCTGGCCTCCCTGATGAGCGCGATGGCGATGAGGATCCTCTTGCGGAGGAAGATGAGCAGCAGGATGATCACCGCCTCCACCACGCACAGGATGATCACTGGGAAGGAGAAGGGGAGCCATGGGTAGCCCAAGGGCACCGGTGGCCCCACGATGGCCACCTTTGGGTGGCCTTTGCCTCCCCAAATGGGTCCGTAATGACACCAAGCCCCGTGGTGGAGGTGGCATCAAGCAAAGCCACCTTCCTCAGCTCAACCCTTTGCAAAGGGCCACCAAAGGGAGCAAGAAGACCCCAAACCTCCTCCTGTGGTCCCTTCCCAAGCCCTGTCCCCTCAAAGGGGGGGGACATCCCGCATCCCGAGGAGGAGGAGGAGGAGGAGGAAGACTCACTGAAGGCCAGCCACGTCTGCCGCAGGTGGAGGTAGACACGGAGGTCGGTCTGAAAGCCCAGGTCCACCAGGGAGACGTCGGAACCCGCTTCCCCTTTTAGCTTTGCATATTCCATGTAACAGTGGAAGATCCCTGCGGTGGGAAGCAGAAGAATCGTCACGTTTTGGGTGGAAAAGTGGAGACCGAGATGTGGGCAACCCCTGCTCAACCCCACCCGTGTGGAGGCTGAGGGAGAAGACGCCAGAGGGACACCGTGGATGAACTTTCTTGGTGCAAATCCCACTTAAGAGCGTGGAATCGTAGAGGGGTTCGGGTTGGAAGGGACCTTAAAGGTCATCAAATGCCACCCCCTGGACACCTCCCACCAGAGCAGGTCGCTCCAAGCCCCCTCCAACCTTGGCCTTGAACGCCTTCAAGGTTCTCTGGGCAACCCCACAGCTCCTCTGGGCAACCTGGGCCAGGCTCTTCCCACCCTCAGAGGGAAGAATTCCTTCCTGAATCTCACCTCAATCTCCCCTCTTTGATGCCCCGTCCCTGAGAACCTTCAAGGTTGGGTTGGACGGGGCTTGGAGCCACCTGGGCTGGGTGGAGATGGCCCTGCTCATGGAATCATGGAAGGGTTTGGGTGGGAAGGGACCTTTGAGACCATCGATCTCCATTTGAGATACGTCCCACCAGAGCAGGTCACTCCAAGCCCCCTCCAACCTTGGCCTTGAACCTCTTCAAGGTTCTCTGGGCAACCCCACAGCTCCTCTGGGCAACCTGGACCTTAAAGACCACTGAGCTCCATCCCAGACACCTCCCACCAGAGCAGGTCGCTCCAAGCCCCCTCCAACCTTGGCCTTGAACCCCTCCAAGGTTCTCTGGGCAACCCCACAGCTCCTCTGGGCAACCTGGACCTTAAAGACCACTGAGCTCCATCCCAGACACCTCCCACCAGAGCAGGTCGCTCCAAGCCCCCTCCAACCTTGGCCTTGAACCCCTCCAGGGATGGGGCAGCCACAGCTTCTCGGGACAACCTGGGCCAGGCTCTCCCCACCCTCAGAGTCAACAATTTCTCCCTCAATCTTCCTTCTTTTACCTCAAACCCCTTCCCCCTGGTCCCATGGCTCCCCTCCCTCATCCCTGCTCCCTCCCCATCTCTCCTGGAGCCCCTTGAGGGACTGGAAGGGGCTCCATGGTCTTCTCCAGGCTGAACCCCCCCCAACTCTCTCAGCCCCCCCTCCCAGTAGAGGGGCTCCAGCATCTCCAGGGCCTCCTCCAGCCCCGCTCCAACACCTCCATGTCCTTCTGATGCCCCCAGAGATGGGGGACACCCCCCCAGAATGGGGCAGAGGGGCAGAATCCCCCCTTCTCATCCTGCTGGGGACCCAGGTTGCCGGGGGCTTTCTGGTCTCACATGGACCTTCTCACCCCCCAACACCCCCATGTCCTTCTCCTTCTCCCCCCCACCCCCCCCAGCCTGGATTTGGGCTGGAATAGGGAGAAGAAGACAAGGAAAGAAGCCCAGGGAGAAGGTCCCGAGCCCTCGCTCACCGTAGCCCAACACCAGGATGACCATCACGATCATCACCCAGACCATGACGCCGGCCAAGAAGCGGAGCAGGACGATGAAGATCAAGCTGGCCACCATGGCGATGACCAGCCCTCTGCGGGAGGAAGGCAACCCCACGTCAGAGAAGAAGAAGCCCCCTCCCCACCATGGAGCTCGTCCCTCTCCCTCCAGCTCCAACGACCTTAAAAATGGGACTTTCTGAAGGTGGAGGAGATGGGAGTGAGATCGCTCCAAAACACCCGCCGTTTGGGGTTTGAGTGGAAACCATACAAAGGCCTTCCTCCAGCTCCAACGATGGGGCAACCTTAAAAATGGGAACTTCTGAAGGTGGAGGAGATCGGAGTGAGATTGCTCCAAAACACCCTCCTTTGGGGTTTGAGTGGAAACCATACAAAGGCCAAGGAGATAAAAAAAAGACCTAAATGGTGGGGTTTTTGAGGAGTTTTGCCCCATGGGAAGGGACGGCTGGGCCCCTGCTCACATTATTATCCAGTACCAGGAGACCGTGTAATCTTCAAAGATCTTCATGGCCAACTGCCGGGCTTCCAGCACCACGTTGGCTTTTCTGGAATTACAAAAATGAAGCAGGAATGAAGTGGAAAATGGGGAGGAACCGGGAAGAAGAAGGGGAGGAGCGTCAGCCTCAGCAGCCTGGACTCAAACCTCCCCTTCTACTCCTCCTTTTCCTCCTCCTCCTCCTCCTCCTCCTCCTCCCCAACAAATGGTCACCCCCCAGGAGGCATCGAGGGAGGTGGGCGCCCAAAGCAAACATGGACTTGGCATTGAGAAGCAGAACTGCTGGCCCTTTGTTGGCCATTCTGGCCCCAAAATCACAGAATCAGAGGATGATTTGGGGTGGGAAGGGACCTTCTGGAGATCATCTCCTTCAACCCCCCCCACCCAGAGCAGGTCCCACAGGGTCCCATCCAGGAGGGGTTGGAATATCTCCAGAGATGGAGACCCCCCACCTCTCTGGGCAGCCTCTCCCAGGGCTCTGCCACCCTCAAAATGGAGAAGTTCCTCCTCATGTTGGGATGGAACTTCTCCTGTCCCAGTTTGTGCCCGTTCCCTCTTGTCCTGTCACTGGGCACCACTGGAAAAAGCCTGGCCCCATCCTCCTGACACCCACCAGCCAGGAGATCCCCCCTCAGTCTTCTCCAGACTCAAAAGCCCCAAGTCCCTCAGCCTTTCTTCATCACAGAGATCCTCCAGCCCCTCATCATCTTCGTGGCCCTTGGCTGGACCCTCCCCACCAGTTCCCTGTCCTCCTGGAACTGGGGAGCCCAGAACTGGTCCCAGTGCTCCAGATGGGGCAGAGCAGAGTGGGGGGAATGACCTCCCTTGAGGTTCTCCATGCTCTTCCTGATGACCATTGGCCTCCTTGGCCATCAGGGCACGTTGGTGGCTCATGGTCACCCCGTTGTCCCCCAGGACCCCCAGATCCTTCTCCTCAGAGCTGCTCCCCAACAGGTCACCCCCAACCTGTTTCTTCTCCTTCCCTCAGAAGATGAGGTTTTGGGGCAGAATTTGTTGCAAACACAAGACTTCCAAGACCTTCAAGACCGGAGCTTTCACTCTATAAACGAGCAAACGAAGGCGGAGCAGATAAAACCCACCCTCTCCTTGCCCTAACGAGGAAGAAGCTCGTTAAGAGGTCCCATCCCCCCCTCTAGTTTGGTGTCACCGGACGCTTGGAGACCCCGAGGGGGACTCACTTGGCCCCTTCCAGCAGCTCGGTGACGTTCCTCTGGTGGCCTTGGCCATCGTCGTAGGTGGTTTGGTTGCCCACCATGATGACGCCCTTCTTGGACTGGAAGGCCGGGAAGCAGCGCCGCACCACTGGGCAAGAAGAGATGGGGGGAAAGACTCAACCCAAACCCCCTCCTTGGGGGTCACCAACCTACACTGGGTCCCCCCGAAACCCTAAAGAGGAGCCTCCCACCCCCTCCCCCCAAAAAAAACCCCAGGAGAAGAGGGATCTCCAAAAACTCCTGGATTCCCCCCAAAATCAAGAGCTCCAAGCGCATCCCTGTACCCAGGAGAAGAGGGATCCCCCAAAACTCCTGGATTACCCCCAAAACCAAGACCTCCAAGCGCATCTGTGTGTCCAGGAGAAAGGGGGATCCCCAAAACCCCCCCGATTCCCCCCAAAACCAGGAGCTACAAACACACCCCTGTGTCCAGGAAAAGGGGGATCCCCAAAACCCCCCCGATTCCCCCCAAAACCAAGAGCTCCAAGCACATCCCTGCACCCAGGAGAAGAGGGATCCCCAAAAACTCCTGGATTCTCCCCAAAACCAAGAGCTCCAAGAGCATCCGTGTGTCCAGGAGAAAGGGGGATCCCCAAAACTCCCCAGATTCCCCCCAAAATCAGGAGCTACAAGCACATCCCTGCACCCAGGAGAAGAGGGATCCCCCAAACCCCCCAGATTCCCCCCAAACTCAGGAGCTCCAAGCACATCCCTGCACCCAGGAGAAGAGGGATCCCCCAAACCCCCCAGATTCCCCCCAAAACCAAGAGCTCCAAGAATGTCCCTGCACCCAGGAGAAAGGGGGATCCCCAAAAACTCCTGGATTCCCCCCAAAACCAAGAGCTCCAAGAATGTCCCTGCGTCCAAGAGAAAGGGGATTCCCCCAAACCCCCTGGATTCTCCCCAAAACCATTAATCCATCAGCCTCGTTAATCAATCATCAGCCTCGTCAATCCATCACCCTCGTTAATCAATCAGCCTCGTTAATCAATCAGCCTCGTTAATTAATCAATCAGCTCCTCGTTAGCCCCGCGGGACGTACGTGGGGTGCTGGGGATGAGCATGGCCGGGCACTCCTTGTCCCTCAACACCTGGATGGGAGGCTGGAAGCAGAATGGGGACACAAAGATGGATTTTAACCATTTTTGGGGAATCTGA